GTGGCCTTAGAAACTCGAAGCAGGCCTCACTTAACAAGAAGCGGCTCTGTGGAAGAGGGCCGACTTCAGCAACCAGATCTAAGTGGGCCCTTTTTGTCGCTTACTTAAATTAGCACGCAGTAACTTGGGAGGAGGCACGCAGACAGTTCAGTGTGTGTGTGTGTGTGTGTGTGTGTGCGCACGCACACGCACACACACACACTGGACTGTCACACGGGTCATTCACGTAAACACGTGTATGAAATGTACATGTATTTATCTGTGTGTATTTACAGAGTAGGCGATTATTCCTGTGACCCTGTTGTTATCTGTAAACCGGAGGACTGAAACCAGCAAGGTACACTTCAACTTTGTTTGACTGAGTGGCGTGCGTGTGCGTGCGTGTGCGTGCGTGTGCGTGCGCGTGGGTAAAAAAGTGATTCAGGGTTTGTGTCTTGCCGCCCGCCCCTCAATCCATCCACCCAAGAGCGCCAAAGTGCTCCCGCAGGTGCAAATTACTGACAGCTGAGAGTGGCCCATGCACAGGAACATTATAAATAGACCTAACAGGTAATAAAATGTTTAAACAGCCACAGCCAGCCAGCGACCGAGCTTTTAACTACGACTGTAAAAACATAACTGTGCCACGCAGCGCTGTGCACGCACACAAAGCAGCTCCATCCATGGCGGACCACCGCCACGCCAGCCCTGAAAACGGACTTTGTGCAGCTTTGTTTGACTTGTTACCGACTGAATAACAGGGCAAAAAAATAAAAAAAATCAGAGCGCCTCCAAAGACGTCACCAATCTGTTCTCACACCTACGGTTCATTTGCTCAGAACTGAGCAGCATCCGCTCAGCTCGCTGAATCCTACCAAATGTTATGGAGACCATTTTCTAAACTAACAAGGGAAACTGATCTGAAGGCCACGCAGCTCTGGTGGGGGTCACCAGGTGAACAGGGCCTGCGGTTTCAGTCACCAGGCACATAACTTGTGTGATCCACGGCCCTCTGCGGCTGCAGCAGACGACTCAACGTCTCCCTCCAAGCTATTAATAGTTCCAGCGTTCGGTTCTTGTCCTGCTGTGTTTTCAACCATTGCACCCACTAATAAATAAAACCCCGCATAGCAAACAGCAGCGACGCTCATTTCACGAGTGATCATTTCATACAAATAAAAATACTTGTGGAAAGACTAAAAAGGAAGTTGTTAAATACCTGGAGCCGCCTGACTTTCACTGCATTCACTCATCACCAGAACCTCGATGATCTTGATGTGAGCATCCCAAGCTGGCTTCACAGCTGCAGGGGGGGGGGGGCGGGGTGGGGGTGTAAACAGAAAACATGCAAGTTAAATAAAGTTTGTGCTTTGCAAACCAAGTCTCTGCTGCTCTGGGTTGCTGTGCGCAGGCCACTTTGATTGTGCAGCACAGCTGGTAAGTAGAAAAGCTTCAACCTATATAACTCGTGTGCAGGTAAACCCCCCCCCCACCATCCCCCGCCTGACAGACCGGCAGCGCACACAAGCCCAAACGTGTGAGAGCCCACGTGTCTGTCTGTCTGCACCCACCTGCTGGCCTGCTGTCTGAAAAGCACAGCGCTGAAGATCTCGCCCAGCGCTCTGGCGCTGAGCAGGTTCTTGGAGCTGTTCAGGCAGACTCTAGAGAAGTGCCTCAGCAGACAGTGCAGGGTCAGCCAGTATTGGGGAGGCAGGCTCGGGGTGCTGCCGACGCGACGCAGGAGCTGAGCGCACTCCTCGGGGTTTCCCACCTCTGTTGAAACAGGTGAGAGGTCAGCAACACGGTTAAGAAACATTAAAGAAAACTAACTGATCGTGTCTGTCGAAAAGGAGCACAAAAGAAAAGGGTGTTTGTTTTTTTAAAAAGAAATGGAAAAAAGGACGTCATGTGCAGTTGGGCGATGAAACCGCAGCAGTTGTGTGGTTGGCAGTGCGCGTAAGGTACACTCGCAGGTGATTGGCTGCTCAGAGATGGTAGAGATAAACTCTCAGGCTTGTTTTAGTTCCATCAACCACAGGCATCCTGCTTCTGGCCGTGTGCAAGAGAACAAGCACTTGAGAACAATGCGCGTGCATCTGTACTCGCAACACACACCAAGTCAAGAATGTCAAAATACACTAATTATATGTGTGTATATGCATATATATGTGTGTGTGTGTGCATGCATGCATGGGTTTTACGCTTTTATTAAAAAAAGCAAATAACGGTTAAATATAAACGTCTGCTTTGAGGTCTTGCGGTTTGGTGCTCAGAGTACTCGGTGTTCATTTCGAGTTGCGTCACGTCAGCACCTGGTCTGACTACCGTTGTGAACAGGAAGTGAGCGGCGCGTCTGTGCTCGGGGTCAGCTGCTCTCACCTTTGGCCGTGTGGACCATCTGAGGGTGCAGTGCAGCGGGGATGACGGGCTGGGGGAGATCCTGCAGGTACCTGCGCAGACCGTCGCACAGGACGGGAAGTTCCACCTGATCCAGATCTGGCGAGGCCGGGTCTGAAGCACACAAACAACACACATTTTGAAAAGCGTATCTTGCTCGTTAAGCCATGATTGCAACAGAGCTTTCAGAGATACTGGTAATGTCCTTTTTAACATGCTGGATGTGCGCACAGACCTCACACATTTCATGAGTCATTATTTTCTCTCGGTTGGGAACAAGCTTCCCTGGTCAAAGATAAACCTACTTACCACAATCATAAAACTGTCTGACTTCAAGTCCACCGCCAGCGGTAAATGTCCGGTATAAAGTGGGGTTATCGAGACCTGCAACCAAACAGCACAACACGAATGGTTACATGCGTCGACTGAGAGGACGAAGAGTGAAGCGCGGTTCATGGAGGAGCCTCACCTTTCTTCTCGATAGCTTCCAGCAGTCTGGCCATCATGGGAGGACTCGTCTCCGGGGGGGAAAACTGCTCCGTCAAGTCCAGCAGACAGAAACCTGGAGGGTGAAAAAGCAAAAAGGGATTGTCAAACAAACAGATTTTTGAAAAAGGAGTGCTGTGCTTGTCTGTTCTCCATCTGTTTGCTGCCGTAACTGTTATTTATTAAATAATAAGTACATTATTGTGACGTGTTACGGGTGCAGATTTCCTGCTCTTTCTTGAGAACAAGTCAATAAATGGACTTAATCATGTGAGAGTCTTTGGTCTCATCCTTTTAGCCGTTATGGAAACATTGGTTTCACTTGACCCACTTCGACAATGATCAAGTTGAGGTGAATTTTAAGCCGCATCAGGAAGTTCAGGGGACACAATTTGGAAAGTAAATGTGGCCCATTCACAAAGGAAATGTTCCGCTAGTCTTCGGAAGCAGAGATGAATGTTTCTGCGACATTTAATGTGGCGGGGGGAGAAATTCAGCCGATTAGGTGCACGACTTAAAAAACGACTCAGAAGGCCAAAAGGGAAGCTGTTACGAGACCAGAGGACCGCCTTGAGTGAGTATTTACAAGCGACCGATTCAGGAACCGGAGGTGCTGAGCACTGAAGTTAGGGTTTGGTGGAAATAAGCAAATGCCTTGTGATATGAGGTAAGCCAGGGCTAAGTTTGTGCCCAATTTTTCCCTCAGAACTTTGCACCCAGGTGTGGACATGAAAGGATGAAGGGCTTGGCATGGATTTTATTTGGATTTGCAAAGGCGTATTTTGAAAGGGCACTTTTCTGAAAGGCCCAACTGTTCAACGCAGAGTCTGCACTTTTTTAAATGCTCAGAAACCATGAATGGAACCCTTTCTAGTCACCATATTTTTCTTTCTTTTCTCCCCCAAAAAATGATTACGATATTTGAATCGGGCATCCAGCGGTCCTGCCGATGCGTGCGTGCTACTCATTTCCGAGGAGCGGCCTTCTTCCACCGCAAGAGTGTTCAATCGAGTAAATAATGAACCACTTCATCCAAATCCACATCCTCTCTGGCCGGAACGCACCCGGGCTGGCATGTTGCGTGTGAAGAAAGCTGGATTACCAAAGTCCCTCTAGCCACAGCACACACAAAACTCCATGTAGGACAACTGGTCATCTGGAAGACATTATCAGAACCCGCAAAGCAGGGAGGGGAGGGGGGGGTTCCCAGAAGCAGTGAAGTCTGAGATGGAACGCTAGAGTTCCCCTAAATAGAGATGGAGACACGCCGTGCTGCCACAGCACACCTCGGACGTGTAACCTTTCTCCCAGACAAGATATCCAACACGACTGCCATTCCAAAGCCATTCCTTTTTCTGAGAAACTCAGTCTAAATTTAAAGAGTCCCAGCCCCACCTCCAAAAATCCACCCAAACATCCAGAGGCTCGCTTGAAAAAATGTGTTAACACATCTACAAAGGATCAAAGTGCCGTATTCAACAGTGTGTTTAAAATGACCTCCGTGCACGTCTCCTGATAAGTTCCCGATAACTCCCACGTGATCCAACTGATTTTTGTTTTTTTTGTATTTATTTACCCCCCGTGCCGTTGGCCCCTGGGCGACACGGGCCGGCTCTGAAGATGGGAGCCGCTTCTCCGTACTGTCGACGATGTGATGGTTTTGGCCCCGGTGGAATTGTATCAGGTGGCGGACAAAATATGGAAGAAATGTTTCAAGCCATCGGTGACGACGTCTTGAGATGCTTTGGCACCAGATCAAGGACAAGTAACCATGGGAACACACACAAAAACACACGCCAATGATTTGGGAACCGTTGCGAAGGTAATGGAGATGGTGATAACTCGATAGCTTTTGCTGTCCTGACAGGTGTGGGTGATTTTACCACATCTTGCATGATCGTTTACACGAACACACTGAAGTACAGCGTGCATGTGATCGATGCACTTTTTGCGGTTACTTAGTCCGTATAAATCAATGCCACCAAACACGCTAAATAATGGTATACATGGCAGCTTCAACACAATGCATTCCGGTTGTCTCTTTTGTTTAGAGCAGCAGATCGTGTTACAACTGAAAGGGGGGGGTGGGGAAGAGACAGGGCCCCTGCAGACGTGTGTCTACAAGCCCGCGTTTTTTTGGCAGACAGTCTCATGATATCCCAAAAGGCCTTCGCCACTCAGTAGTCAGTCAGTTAACCGCAAGTTGGGGCAGTCAATGCAGCTGCCGCTGGTGCTGCTGTGGTCCTAGCGGGGGGGTGTAGGAGGGGGGGGGCGACATTCTCCCCGGCTGAAATGGTATGTCTGAGCCCAACAGACTACAGACTGTGGCCAGGACGGGCGTGGGTCACCACCGACACACTAAAGATAGCACACACTTTGGATACATTTAGAGGTCTGCTCAAGTAACAAGCTTTTGCAGGTTAGAACCACTTCTAAAAAGGGAGGGCAATGTCTCCCCCTGCAGGACGGAAGGTGCACTGCGCGAACGAAGCGACAGCCAATGAGGAGACTGTTGCTACAGCCTGACAATTAACCCTATGAGAGCAGACCTTGGAGGGACACCAGCTTCACCATTGCAGATAACAGTGGATTAGTTTATCATGGCACACAACACGTGTACTAGGGAACTACTACTTGCAGATGACTGACTGACGCACACAGATTATTTTTTAAGCTTTTGCTACAATGATGATAACTTGATTTACTACATTTAAATAAGAGTCACCATCACTACAAACTGCAAACCATTTTTTTCTTGTGGGTGTTACATCCTCTCAAATAGACGTATGAGTGAATCTGATGTGTGGGTATCTGCTTTATATTGGAGCATTTGCATTATGTGGAGAGTTCATTTCCAAGGGGGGGTGCAATGCATGCTCTGCACTGAAGGGGGTGCTGTAATCGATCTCCTCCTCGGCACAGCAGAATATGCATTAGGAGAAGATACAAGAAGCCTTTTATGAAGTAAGTGCTTCTATTCTTAATAGTTCTGACCTGACATTATAAACCATTCCAGGAAAATAAGTTGGCCGGGTTAAAACAATACGGCGTTCTTGTCCTCGCCGTTATGCAACGCCACAGCTCTTCAGCACGAGGAGCTCGGCCCTTTCCCCATCAAATACGTGACATATTTCAAATACCCTTTTCTGGTTCTCCTTCGACTTGGTGCTTCTCACTCATCGCACCTCTCGTCTTATTGCACCACTTTTTCACGTCTATCGAACTGCCCCCCCCCCCCCCCTCCCACCCTCCCGCCCTAATCCTGCTGGCAGACATGCTCCAACTCTCGTAAAGAAGATTTGCCAACTCCATCTCTGCACACAAATCAAGTAATGAAACAAGCTTTCTTGCACAAAAATCATGAATTCAACTTGCATGCGGATGATGCGGGAAACTACAATGTTGACCTGATTGAGGCCTGAAATTACTGTCACACCTCACAGCATTTATTTCAAGTCTATAATTATAGCAGTCAAGGAGGTATCATTTTTATTTAATTATAAAAAAATATTTTATAGATTTTTGAGGCTTTACTTCATTTCATCATTTGCAGCCCTAGTTAGAGTAATTATAAACTGTAAACGTGAATGGCTGAACCTCAACACCTAAAGTCAGGGGAAGAAATTCCCTTTTCGCGCCGTGTTAGAATCAAAAAGGACGAGTCCTTGTTGTCACGTCCGCACTGGAAGGCCGCTAACGCTTAGCAACAGCTCATGGTCTAAAAGTTAACGGGATTACGAAAAACACGAGACATTTTATGACTGATCCTCTCTGTGAAATTAAAGTGTGACTAAGCCAAAAAAAAAAAAAGAAGTAAATCCTGCGTTCTAAATCTGACGGCTGAGGGCAGAGGATCGGCCGCCACCGCCCTCCACATCTGTCGAATGCTGGCCGGCTAACGACCTAACACCAAGCAACGAACTTACCAATAAACTTAACCTGGTAATTGGAACGTAATACAAAAAAAAAAAAAACTAAATTAGCTTCATGCGAAAGCAGCGGGTACACCGAGCGTTGGCAACCCGCAGAGGGTCCCGCTCAGGGTGCAAACCTTTTATTGTCTACGTCCATTGTGCAACGAGTTACCGCAATCAGCATTTAGCACAATACTGATTCATCACAAAGCTACAAATCAGTCCACCGTGCAGTCTGCAGAACTCCACCAGAGGAGCGCCAACACATTCCTGGCCCCCGGCTGCCCGGAGCCCCACAGAGGAGGAAAAACTTCGGAGCAAATAGAAGCAAATAAAAATGAAAAAAGGACACTTTCACCAACGTTTTTGTTCTGTGGCTATTTCTTTTTTTTTTTCACTAACACACAGCCACATGGTGGAAATGTAATAACCAACCAGTTGATGGGGAACAAACTGTTGCACTGTAAAAAGAGGATCCACACGATGGCAGGAGGGTACAGCACGGCCGGTTCTCAGTTTACGAGCTACCCCTGAATGGGGGCACTTCAGGGTTTAAAACTGGAAGCTCGGTTTGGTGGATTTTGGTTTTGAATCCATTTTGCTCGTATCAAGTATGTATGCGTGCATATCTTTGAACAAACTTATGTAAAAGGCAGAAGAAGTCAATTCTTGTTAGAAAGAGGCCCAGGGAAGGAAAACGACATTATCTCAACCTCTGGCTACGCGCTTCTCTGCTTTGTACGGGCTGATCTCTTCCCTCCAGCAGCCCTTCTGAAATGCGCCAACACCCCTGCAACCTAAATATAGAGATGGTCTAAATCTACTCAATGCACTTGGGTCATATTCAGGAAACAGACTTACTGCAGAGAAACATGAAAACATGATGAGACGCCGCAGACGAGGATGAAGCCTAATGGCATCAAATAGTTTCCTAAACAAGTCTGAGCATGCGAGGCCGAACCCTGTGAGAGCGTGCAGAGCAGCAAACGCTTATTCACACCTTTATATTCAACATATGGAAGAATGTTCTCTCAACCCCGTCGGTGGAGAACAGTTATAAACAGAACATTTAACCATTTAGAGCCGCCTTGTGACTGTAAATATCCAACATGGTCACTGGACTTAATCGAGATTAAGAAACGTACCCCTTCCAGCTCTAAATTCCTGTCTTTGTTACTTTGATTAAACAAAAAGAATCAAACAATTGTAGATTTCTGTTTAACCAAATAAGAAAAAAGGAGCTTTTAGAGGAAATTCGTTCTATGGGTTTTAATCTCACAGTTCCTTTCTCTTGGCAGGGCCCAACACATGTATATCCTCTAAACCGAGAGGCCCAGAGAAGGAGCACTTTAATGTAAAAGAAAAAAAGACCCAACGGCTGAGCGCTGGAATGAGGCGGAATAGTTTCCCAGCCCCGTTTCTCCCTCACCCTCTCCACATCTGCTGCACTCATGTAAACCCCTGTGGCTCAGTGGGGAGAGGCCCCTGCGTTCTCCACCCCCACCACAGTTGACTGTAGGAACTATCAAAACATTAAATATATACGGAGGAAGGAGAAGAAAGCTGAGGAGGAGGAGGACGGGAGTGAGATCCCTCGGTAGTGGGCAATAAATCACAAACAATCTGGGAGCAACAAGAGCCCGGCCTCCATCCCAGAGCCCCTCTTTAAAGCCCCCTAGAGCATGCAGAGCCCCGAGACCTCCCAATGCCTAACCCCCCCATCCTTGTGCCCTCCACCAAGCCCCTAGCGCTGATCCACTCCTGATCCTTTTGCACACTATCCCTTGCATGGACCCCCCCCCCCCTCCCTCCCTCCCTCCCCAGGACACAGAGACTTTTCTTCTCTCGGGGCTACATTCACACTCTCTGCAGGCTCAACGCTGCCACTCAACCACAACACAGCCATTCAACACATGCCCCCTTCATGCAGCTCCTCGCTCGCCCCGCCAACCACGGCAAAGAATTTCACGATCGCACCACAAAAAGGCGCAGGAACTAGAAACCTGCCGAGCTGCTCGTCAGGTGAGCAGAAGGCCGTGAGCGCACACTGCTGCTGCGAGCCACAGCGTCTTTAAAAAGAGATGCAAGCTATAATCGCAGTTGCGGCTTGACAGCTAAAGTGATACATTTCAAAAGGGTAATTATGTTTAGGGCAGTATTTAAAAAAAAACATGTTATGTACGTGTTCTTCCACTGCTTTAAAAAAAACTTTAAATTGTGCACAAAGGAATCGGGTTTCACTGTTTGCATGTGTCACAACTTAAAAGAACACTAAGTGTCCTCTTCACGCTCTATATTGCTTAGTTTAGGTCAAAGAGGCATTGTAGCTTCAAAAAAAAAATTGACCAAATATCACAAGTTTCTAGTCAGTTGGTGAGTCATAAAAAAAAAACAGAAAAAGTGACTCACGGACTTCGATGACCAGCAAATAAACTAAAACATTTTAACTAGACAGCTTTGCGATGGTAATTTATTTTCATTTTTCAGTGAAGCCATCTTAAACCCACAAAGGCTTTCAGAGCTATTTGCCCTAATCACCACTATACAGAGATCTAATGGAAAGCGTTCCCTTAAGATGTGCCTTTGTGGAGCTACACAGATGATATCCACTGGGAACATAAGGCCCGATGTGCTGCGGTGTACCAGGACCTGGATAGACGCCAGCATTGTCCTCTGGGACCCAGTTGGTTCTCATCCAGTGCAGCTGTACAGCTCGGGGGCACGGCCACTTGTTGTCAGAGAACGCAACTGTTCCGCAAAATCAGCATTTTTGTCGCCCTGAATCGGTCTGTTGATCTTTTCATTCAACAACTTAGCAGTAACAGAAGACTGTGAAAGAAGCAAATTAGCGGTGGCGTTAAGAACGGCTTAAAAAGCTCCAGGAGGAACAGAGTGAGGGAACAAAAATCATTTCAACCATTTTAACTCACAGCTGTGTGACAATCATGTATATTTATAGACTTTCAGGCAACATGATTTTAAAAAAATACCAACGACCAGCATGCATTTACATCGAGTGTTGCATCACACATCCGCGCATGTTCCAAAGTAGTCACTTAAAAGATATCAGTTACTTATCCACTGCACAGGCTTATTGTCTGGTTTCTGACATATCAAGGAATACAATTACTGTGAAACAAACCCGACCGAGTGCTTCCGTTGCATCTTCAACTTCTTAAATCTTAACACACCAATATTTGTTATCCACAAAAACAAATCCAACTTGGCTTTCAAGATTTTTTTAAAGAAACAGCTTGACCAATAACCAAACTTTTTTCTGTACATGAATACTTTCCATTGAGCAGGAATGATAATCATCAGAAAACAAGTCTTGTGTAATTCTGGTGTCGTAAATTGAATAAACATGTAAAAACCAAACCACAAATCAAATAAAGGTCAGATCATCCAATACTTTTTTAGTTGCATGTCTAATTGTGAAACGGTCCTGTCGAGTGGTGCAACGCTCACCTTGCTCCGAGTCAGAGTCGGTGTCCGCCCTGAAGCCCCCTGGAGCTTCGGGTAAAGGACGGAGGGGCCTCGGCTTGGGCGTGGGGGGGGAGATCCTCTTCCTCCCGATGAACTCAACGTAAGTCCCCGGGAAGTCCCCCTTCTCCAGGGTGGTTTCGTTGAAGCCTGGTAGCCAGCCGATCTCGTCTGGCCTCTGTTCCAGGCCGTCGGTGTACCCGAGGGCCACCAGCTCCCCTTTGCTCACCAGCAGAATGTCCCCCACATGTAGGCTGATGTCCTCCTCCCTCTCTTTCTTGTAATCGTACAGCGCTCTGTACTGATATCCCTCGGCACTCATGTTGATCCCTTTGTGTCAAGTTGCTTTCTGGGGGGATTTAATAAGCCACACTACTTTTGTCTTTAGTCCAGTCACACACTTGCTAGGTCAAACGGTTGGAAACCTCCCGCAGCTCTTTGCAGACGCCACTGTCTAGCTTTTCTTCATTCTTTCACAGTTGCCGTCGGTTCTGAATGATTTATGGTTTTCTTGGTGCGCCGCCTCACAGTATGTACCCATCAGAAGGTGGCCTGCAGACCGGAGAGCAGCATCCAGACCTGTGAGCGAGAGCAGAGGCCATTTGATAAACGACTACAGCACAGTCACACCAACAGCTGCCGGCACCTACACGAACATTTGCAAGATAAGATGATACAGATTATGGTTGACTGTGAGTCGCCATATGGCAAGTTGGTGGCTGATCACATTATCTTTAGATAAAGATGCATTTGTAATGACTTTTATTAACTGTTCATGTTGTAGTTTAATGGGTTGTGGTCACTTTGCAGCAGTGCTTATTATTGGTGAAACTTTTCACTTGGGTGCAAAACGACTGTTACGTCCAACAAAGAACGTGACGTGTGCAAACGAGCGGACTGTGCGGGGAACGGCTCCTGGCACGCTTTGCGCCAACGTTAGCACGGCTTTAACTTTTGTTATACAAAATAAACAGGAACCGCTTTGGAGAGATGGGCTCGTGGATTAGAAACACGTTTTAATCGATATATATATTCGACTCAGGTCGTCAGAGAATCCAGAAACGTCACCAAGCAAATGTCGCGGGCGCCGGGTGGTTAACGGCTAGCTGGGTTAGCCAAGTTAGCTTACGACAACTAACGTTAGCTTAACCCAGCTCGCTAACGTGATCGTCGACTAGCGTCGATCGGCTTCTTTTCTTTTTTTACTAGAAGTAACAGTTGAATGCCACACGAGTTAACCGACGGCCGCCATTGTTCGTCGCGTTATACGACGAAAAGATGTTTTTTTTAAGGAACGTCAGTTTAAGAACATGGCAGATAACAGGAGGAAGAGGAAAGAAGGAAAAAGGTAGAAGTTAACGTAACGTTAAGTTCGACCAAACTAAGTTGTAGAAAGAACGTAGAGGCCTCACACGAAGCACGTATTCTTACTACGGCTCTTTATTAACACTGTTAGTTGTCCTTAACAGAGACTAGACGGGAGTAACGTGAAGTTAAGCTCGGCGTTACTTACCGAGTCTGCACGGATCCACACGGAGAACCGACGAGTCCTCTAAACGCCGTCACTTCGGTCAACTTCGGAGTCGCGGCTACTTTCAGTAAACCTAAACATGTCGCTAACCAGAACGGCTTCGATAAGGGGGGTCGGCTTGCATTTGAATCCGCGTTAGACGGGATAGTACAAACTGTTACGGACTGCAGCCCGTCGACATAACGGCTCGGTTTCTCCGTCCAGAAAAAAAAAAAAAATTCGCTCCCCTGCAACTGAACGCTGGCTTCGCTGTCGCGAAGAGGCGAGACAAAGCAACGGCGCCCATTGGTCCGCGGCGCTGTCAATCACTGACGCCACACGGTCTGACCAATCGGATCGCCACTAGTGGCGGGCGCGCCCCCGATCACGTATCCATGCAAGCAACACGAAACAGCTATCGAAATTACATAACTTTCCGCACGCAATGTGAGCCCAACAACTTTTGGTTGATGTTATCAGCATTAGGAGGTTTATTTTCGCAGCATCCGTAGTAATGAAGGGCGATGTAAAGATATGGCGTTATTGGCAACCCAAGCCGAGTACTGCAGAGGATATCTGCAGAACAAACACTACCATTGAATAGGTTCATGTGTTTCTTTTCTGAATCAATACTAAAAACAACAAGCCGTGGATTGTATCATGTGAGAAAAAGCCATATCCGTAACAAAGTTGAAAATTAAACATACAAAGGAGTTTTCTGTCCCAGCCCGGAAAGCATCGCCATTTATTTAGCCTGTAGTTATCAGTTTTTGTGTTGCTTTTTATAAATCATTGCATGTTCTCAGTGTGGAAGGAACCAAAATCTCCCACAGGCGCATGACTGTGAATGTGGGTGGCCTAATTATGGTGGGGAAAGAGGGCTGGCTGCTGGCAGAAATCCCCTATCAAGCATAAACCCGACTGTCTCGGCTGTGCTAAAAGAGGCCGTAAGCAGCTTTGGAAGAGGGCCGGCCGGCCTGAGTGTTTGTCAGTCAGGCATCAGTGGCCAACACCATCCACAAAAGAGGAAGGAGTGTAGAAAACAGGAGCATACGTAGCGTGAAATCAATAGCAACCAGGAAATTCAAACTGTGCATTTCTTCCCCTAAAAACTGCACACGACAAGTGTATTATAACCGCTGCACAGCATTGAAAATTATATTTGAACCAGCCCCCCACACATAATCCGCCTCTGCCCCCCACTCGTTTCAAACATGAAATTTCTGTTATTTCAGGAACACAGAATTATTTCTCAATGTTTGCATGAATGTTCTTTCTTGTCATGACTTTGTGATAAATCCATTAAAAGTCAAAATAGCTTGAACCATCATTCACATTCTATCAAGGAAGCTTTTGCATATTTCACACTCTTGGCACGAATGTGAAAAAGCAAAATCAGATTTGACATATTTGCTGTTTTTTTGTACTGCAACGGAACATCATTTGACTTCCTAATCAGACATTTGTTTATTTTTAAGTAACTGTTGTGGAGCTGTTTTAGTAGGCTTCTTGAATTATTCCTCACAAGCACTTTTAGTTGGCTTCCATTACATTGAACAGCACTTAAGAGGTCCACCATACTGGGAGACGTCCTCAGCTACATACAGCATCCCAAAACAGTTGAATACAGTTCAACAATGCAAAATCATGTTGCAAATGTAGTTCAAATCTGGCCTTTAAATCAAATAACAACTCATGTATAAATGCAAAGATTGCATAATTACATGAATACAAACACAGAAATTCAGCGGGCAGAAAGTCTCACTTTAGGGAGAATTTAATGTACATTTCTGCACAACATTGCAACCTTTTTGAAGAATGTGGATTTGCAGACAAAAGGCATCAGAATGTGCGCTCTCAGACGCTGAACTAAAGCTGCAGGTACATGGCAGAGGAATCCTTTCATGTTACAGCAGCGGGACCCACTTCTCAAAGAATTCACTCTGCGTGCATCGGGCCCCCTAAACCATTAATCTATGCAGTGTTTTCAAGGCTTTGATAATGGCTAACTTTAGTGTAGAGCTCTTCGGCTCCAAGCTTTTCACACCCCCCCCCCCGGCCTCCTTTTTTCTATTCACTGAGGCTTTTATTTTTGTGAGCAAGCTGAGAATTCTCACATGCGAATCCCCCTAATGATCATCAACGTAGGATGAACTCGTGAAATGCATCACCCACCAACGCTTATAAATAAGGAAAAAGGACTCTTCCTCCCTCTGCGTTGTTTCCTCATGGTTACCATGGACTCTGTCATGCCCGTTCAGGGTTTTATTATGCTTTTACCTGCATGTGACCACTGCACTGTGCTGTACATTATTTACATATTTTTATTTGCGATATTCTAGATTGATTCTGTCATTCTGTGGTTCCCCCTCATCCTGACTCACAAACAGTAAGTCACATTTCTCCCTCCTTGATGCTTTTCTGCTGCAGTTCACAGCATCCTCTGCAGACTGCGTTTCACGCGGCACAAGCTCGCTTGTGTGCAGGCGAGTGACAACATTCCTCTGGTATGAAAGAACACTTCTCCCCATCGACTCCCGACAGTGACCTTCTTCCCCGGACTGCTCTATAAATCATTCATTTTCCATATTAGCTTCGGTCCAAGTGCTTTTCTGGCCCACGAATCCCGACATGCTTTAGAGATATGGAGACGGATCGCAGGATGAACGGGAGTTCATTGTGCTGCTTAATCTGTTAGAAGATGATTTTTCACCGATGACACCGGAGCACATTGTGTCACATGTTTGCCATTGTTTTATTAGTTTATTATCAGCAGCGAACATCTGTACGTTCTCATTTCAGAAGGAATCAGTCAAGAAAACATTACAAAATGCTGATGAGACTCTCATGGACGTTTTGTTATTAATATTAACAAGCACGTGTGGACAATGAATATGGACACAGGACATCAATGCACAGTTGAGTCTGCATGATTTTCATTTCAAAACTTCCACTCCTTGTATCTTTGAAGCAAAAAGCTGGTGGCGAGTGGTCTGCGAGTGCGGCTTCATGTGCACCTTTGTGCTTTTGCATGTGGTGAAATCTCTGAGTGATCGAACTCTTGACGTTTGACAGCAGGTCAAATACTAAAAGACGAGGTTGACACACTGCAGGCGTGTGGATATGAAACAGGATCATTTAATCCTGCATGTCAGCTGAGCACCGATCCCAAAACCCAGTAAACTTCTGCCTTCTGCAAACACCAGGATTTGGAACAAAGCGCTTCGAGGTCATCGGTGAATAACGTCGGCCAGCTGTTGTGGAGCATTCTGGGAAATCTGCGACACCTTCATCTGAACTCTACGTTTACCTCGTTCTGTCCTTCTGTCTTATTTCCATTACAAATCCCACGCAGGGGGGCTTCCGTTTAGAGACATCACTCTCTAAACAGCAAAAGACTCATAGTCCATCATTTGTACAGATGCATTTCTGTCTTTCTTGTGTGGAGACGTTGTTCTTTTCAGGGTTTGTGTGTACAGACACCTTCAAAACCTCAAAGACACACACACACGCGCACACACACTTCCTCTCTCGGTTCTCGCTTCTCCCCCATCCCTTGTTAACCCTTGTTGGTCTGGAAATCAAGCGCCCCCCCCCCCCCCTCCCCCCATCTCTACCCTTACCACATGCTGTGGAAACAAGAGTCAAGTCTTCTCTCAAGAAAAAAAAAGAAGCGAGAAGAAATAATAAGGAAAAAAGGGCCCATCATGTGAAGGTACAGCACAGGAAAAAGAAAAGAGAAAAAAGGGAGTGGGGGCAACTCCCGTTGGTCCGCATAACCCCCCCCCCCCCGTGTCTTCTCCTGCCTTCACGTCTCTTCTACCACTCACACATTCCCAGGCGCCGTCCGTCTGTCTGCCTGTGGAGCGCCACCATCAGGGCAAAGTTTCACTCGGGTCGATGACCTGATCCCCCCCCCCCCACGCGCTGACGTGGACGTGGTGAACATCAAAGCGTGATTCAGAGGCAACGAGGAAATGACTCAGAGGTCCCTCTGGCTCCCCGAGTCCAGGCTTTGGTCTAAATGAAGGGCCGCGTTTACCACGATGAAGCCGCGTGTCGTACGACCCAAAGTACGTCACCCACTTTTACGCGTCTTAAGACGGCGGCTTGCTAACAAGTGCAGAGTGAGATGAGTGAAAGGTTTTATGAAACTATCCATTTAGGTTTAACTGCTTAGCAGCGGCATGCTAGCATTAGCATGTTAGCATGACAACCTTAGAGTCAATCTCGATGTCCATTAAAGGAGTATTTTTGGGAGACAAAAACACAAAACTTTGAGATGGAATTTTTCAGATTATTGTCTGTTTCATTTCTATATGCAGTTTCTTATTCATCCTCAAATGTATTAATCAAACCCAGTTGCTTATTTTCTTTTAACAATTGAACTATGTGTTTTCTCTCTCAGGAAATAGTGCCACCGATTGACCTGTCGCTGTCACATTTAATACCCCAATTCACGAGTTCACCGGTCCGAGAGCCACAGTGAGTCCGCGTCGCCCCGGCTGCCGTTTCCCGGCGTCCGAGGCCACGTGTGAGTCGCCACGGGCCCGACAGCCCCGCGTATTCCTGAAGCCTCAGAGGAAAAGGCCTTTTCTGTAATTACAGGCAACGCCACCACCACTCTTTGTGAGGCACGCGTTGCCAGGGCAACAAGGCAAATTAAATATGTGCCCCCCCCCCCCCCCCAGGAGGGGAAATATACCCTTGGTCTGTAAGTGTAATCTTGTTTGATGTGCTGGCGCTCTCCCTTGTGTGGGGGAGAAATAATTTACGGACATTGGGATGAATAAAAAGGCAGCGGAAAGTCACCCAGTCACACCAGTCAGAAGCGCTCTGAGGCCCCCCCCCCCCCCAATGGGAGCTTTTTCTCCCTTTCCACGTAATAACTCAGTCACTAAAACCGCGTGGTGAGCCTTTGATACGGTTGACTTTGATACGGCAGACTTCATTTCTGCCATCGGATAGCAACTGTTTTCCCCTCAGGCGGTTTGTCGGGGCTGAAATCTGCCAAACGCTTGGACCGTGACTCGGGGACCTTCTCCCTTCTCCTCTCGGTTGAGAATGTATATTACGTTCGCTTTGGCCCCAAGAACCGGCTCTCCGCAGCTCCTGCTGCTTTTACCTACAGGTGGTCAAACGGGAGTTTTTTAGCAAAGTTCATTTGCTAATTTAACTTTCAAAGCAATTTGTTTCTTTCATGCTTCCGTTACCCAAATTTATGGATGAATTTAGCAACTC